ATATATACATGTATATTTCAGCTCACTGGGGACCCGGGGTAGTGGGGGGTTTGGATTTTCGGATTTTTTGGAACTTGCAGACACTGACAGTGTCGCGTAGCTGTAGAGTCCCTATTTTTTTTTATTGAACTTGAAATCTTTCTGGAAAGCTTTTTCCCCATTTGGAGGCCCCCAAGAGGCCCCTAAGAGGCCCCCGAGAGATCCTAAATGGATTTATGTTTCAAAAAATAGAGCATACTTTTGCGGGTCCTTCCGTTTGTGACTGAACAACTGTGCGTATTTGTGTGTGTGTGTCGAGTGAAAGTGAGGGAGACAGGGTCAGTTCTTTGCTACCCTCTTTGAAGAATCGCTTTGGGTCTCCGCGGCGCCCTAACCGTGTTTTATATGTACAGGTGTGTTTATTTTATAAAAACACAAAATATGACCACAACAACAAAAATAAATGGAAGAAATATTTGAAAAACAGATGATGAAAACTAGTAAACTAGCGCCATCTCGGACGACATTGGCCGAGGTGAATTGAATAGCAACCCCACTTGCCATGCTCGTCTAAGATACAAGGTGGGTGAGAGTGAAGGTTAAAGGGATTCAATGAGAGTATAAAACCTCTATTTTTCTTGCTAGTGTGGTGCTTGGGGTCTCTGCAGTTGATCAGTCAAACATAGTTGGCGCGAATAAAAACCATCTCTTCGATAAACGGTGAGACAAGATTTGTTTCTTTTTTCTCTCCGAACTGAATTCTCTGGAGTGAGGTTTACGTTTGTTCAAGTTCGTTGTGTCTACTTTTAATGTTGAGATCCATGGCAATGAAACGGACTGCCATATAATTATAAAATAGAGGATATACGCCCAAAAGAATATTTATAATGCGGCAGGTAGATATCAAGTATTTTTCTCGCCTATGAAGCCTGGGAGGCATATAGATATATGTGAATATCTCTCACCACAGGAACGTTTTGCAGACAAGCATTTATTTTCTTAGAGTACATTGTTATATTCGTTTGGTAGGTGTACGCTTCTGGCTGATATTAATTCACTCCTCACCAGAGCGTCATTGTGCTTGGGCTGTCGTATGAAACTAGTGAGTCACTTTTCTTGTTTCGCTTTCAAGGAACATCCCGCACATTTGAGTAAGCATCTAAAGAATGTACTTGCGCGAGGCTGGTCACAGACCAGACTTTTTCAGGTCTTATTATATCTTAAGTATACAAAAAGTATATGTATACTATATACTTCCCGTTCGATTTTTTTTATAGTTTACGTAATCCTCCACTTCAACATCGGAGCATGCCATAAACTTATGTGTGCGCACATACTTCACAGGCGTGATGTGTGTGTTAAGGATAAACACTTATTCCCCACCGTCTATAACCATATTGTCACCTCCAATGGCATCCAGCGTGTGGGTGCCTTGGTTTTGACCAAAGCCTGACCCATGTTCTATATTTAACACCGTGGTGTTGTAAGATGCGCATTCTGAGCACTTGTGGTGCATGAAATGATATTTGGTGGTTGATTTCATCTCGCAGTCGTTGCAGAGAATGTTGCTTTTCGAATCTGTCAATGTTATAGACAAACACGAGTAATTATGAGCAAAAAGTAAGAATATTTCTGTGACGAGTGCCTAGTGGCTTTTGGTTCTCAGGTACGTCCCACGTGGTAGTAAACACCTTCATACTTGGACTTTTGAAAAGGACGAGAAAAAAACGAGACTTTCACTCCGCTAAAGATATACAATGTATATGCTTTTGCATTGACTCAAGTGTAAAGAGAGATTCAGAATATATATATATATATATACATATATATGCTTTTGCATTGACTCAAGTGTAAAGAGAGATTCAGAATATATATATATATATACATATATATACCTTGGTATTCGACTGGCATTGGGTTGCTGACCATAATTTCTTCGATTTTATCGAAGTATGATTTCATATTGCCCAGTGATTTGAGACATATGGGGCACTGGTACGATTGCGTCACGTGCTTCTCGTAGCAGGCATGATGTATGCAGTGGCCACATCTCTGTTAGCAAGGTAGCCAAAATATAAAATGTTACAATATGGCGATTAATTACTGGATTCAACCCGTTTCATACAAATTTTAGGAATACATCTCGAATTCCACACATTAGCTTGCCACAGTGACAAATAGACACATCACTGTAAGCTAACAAAAGCATCCACCTACATCACATTGAAGGCTACGCTGTAAATTCGCGAGATTGAGACGTACCATGAATATGATGGTGCTGGTCGATGTGAACATGAATTCGCTGCAGATCGGACAGTCGCTCTCGAGATTTCTTTCTATGCACTTGTGTTTACCCTTGAGGCTGACCGCCATACACACATTGCACTTATTGCAATGGAAAAAATCTTTGCCCAAACCTTCCCCGATCCGACATAATCCGCAATCATCACAATGGTATATCTTTTTTGTTGCATCATCGTCCCATAGATTGCACGTACCACAATGGTAGTTAGCCAGGACCATACCACAATCAGCAAATTTGCATGACTTCGCAGCCTCCTGCTCACGGTTGCAATACATACAGTACATGTTGGTAACCTCGTGCCGGTTCATTTTATGGTCATTTGACTCATCATGACATAGCCTGCACGTGTACCACTCTTTGCAGCAGGGAGCCTGAATCTTGCACGCACGCGCATAATGTTTGCAACCCATGACCTTCCCCACCACCTCCGTGGACGGTGTTGTGGATGATAATTTGGGTCTGAACTGCGGACATAAACTACGTCTGCCCGGGCTTTCCTGTTTAAGACTCTCATTCGACGCTTTTAACTTCTCGTTGTAAGTTGATGTCATGAGTCTCTGCACGCGATGAGCCTTCTCATGCGCAGACAAGGTTGTGTCGGCATGTACCTTCATGATGAGGGCACGCATCATGACCTGATCTCTCATTTTTCTGTTGAGGGGCTGTTCTCATTCACCGCTCTGATCTAACTGCGGGAAGTTGCTGTGAAACTTGATTATGAGATCAAACGCACTTTTAAGACAAACTTGCAGATTGTGATACGCGTTGTATATCTATGTAGATCGATAGTGCGATAATAACCGTTCTGAATAGCTCCCTTCAGGGTTATAATAAATAATCGAACTGCTTCGTCTATTTAGCTTCTGAAAATATTCCCTCTCCTCTGTATCCGTCTCTCTCTCTAGTTACCACTATCGTTATCTGGGGCCCGTGGCCTCCTCACTCTATTCGAGAGTCGTGAGAGATGGCTAGTAGCTAGTAATATTGTGTGAAGGGTTTTCGTACCCAAAAGTTCGACTACATTATCTTGGCCCTTTAACCCGGCTATTTTTACCAATTTTGGGCCAACGACTCAGACAAATTACGAAATACCAAGTGCTCCTCTGATATCTAAAGTTCTAAACAACAGATTATGAAAATATTGTTGTTGACTTTGTGTTCTGTAAAAAGGATGAAAAGAAACCGTTTCAAGGGAGCGAAATAGCGATGTATTTTCATTGGAGGAATTTTACAAATTTCGCACGGTTGCTAGCTCCCGAGAAATTAAATATACTTTCTACTCCTAATTTTAAAGTGTATTTATATAAATAGATACTCAGCTACTAATAATGAACATAAATATCATAAAATAATTTAGTACATACATAGTATATTCAAAGCCTCTGTATTAAATTCATAACTTTCTACACAGAAAGGAAACGAAACTTTGTTCTTAGGTCTCTTGCTAAATATATACTATAATGTTTATTTTATAAAAATGCATATGTATAAACTTTATTTTACAATATATA